ATATAAAATAAACCAAAACCAAAAAATATACAAATCAAAATAAAATAAAAGGTAACAGAGGAAGAATAAATCTTATTATGTCTGTCCCTTTTCAACCCAGAATATATTCAAATGAATCATAATTTACAAAACAATACTAAACGTAAAATAAAATAATAAAATCAACAACATGAAAACATAAACTGAAACAACAAATCAAATGGCTTCACATTTTTCATATCTTCAAAAAACTTTCTTTTATCCGTYTCTTAAATATATACATTGATCTAGCCTTTTTAAGATCATCTTCCAGACCGCTCCATAATCCTGTACCTTAGATTAAAGTACCGTTTTCAGTGAGACTTGGCTGATTTCAGTGATTTTTACTCTGTTGGAAGCGGTCCACAGCAGTCCATAGAAAGTCTCATAGATGTGACCGTTTCATTAAAATAATACAGTTTTCTTGTATTAAAATTAAATATTCTTTAAAAGCTGAATTGATAGCAATGAAAGGTTTGTATGTTAAAAATTCTGGGACCGTTTGTTTCTGTTAATGTGTCAGTTTGGTCTTAAATGTCATTCCTGAAGGCCTTAAAAGATCTTTAAAAGATCTTATATTTAACGTACTGAAACCTGCATGAACCCTGAAAATGACCCAGCCCTCCCACCTGTAACAGCACCTGGACGTGTTCCCTGTTCCTCAGGTCACCACCATGTTCRCAGAGACCACGGCGAACCTGAACGTGAAGTCCAAACAGTGGCTGGCTCTGGAGAGCAAGCGGCAGCAGGCTCAGGCCACGGTGAGCGAGACGAACACGGAGTGGCAGCAGCTGCACCAGCGCGTGCACCTGTTCGCGGCGTGCGCCGTCATCAACCTGCAGATGCTCCCCGACAAGCTGAACCCGGTGGTGCGGCCTCTGATGGAGGCCGTGAAGCGCGAGGAGAACGCTCTGATCCAGAGCTACGCCGCCGCCTTCATCTCCAAGCTGCTGCAGCAGTGCGCCGGCCGCTCGCCCTGCCCCAACCCCAAGATCATCAAGAACCTGTGCGCCTCGTGCTGCGTGGACCCCGCGGTCACCCCCCTGTCAGGCTGCCCYGTGCCCCCGTCACAGGATCCTGTCAGAGGTGAGGGGTGCTGACAGCAGTGCTGTGGGAGGGGGCGGGGTTAAAATTAAYGCTTCATCTTTTTGTTTCATCTTCGTTTAAGGTGGTGGCTCAGAAMGAGATGGCATCCATCACATCGTCAACAAAACCCGAGGGATCATCACTCTGTACCGCCACCAAAGGGCCGCGTTCGCCATCACCAGTAAGAGGGGTCCRGCCCCTAAAGCCCCCAAAACCCCCACCACAGAGCTTCCACCAGGCAGCACCATCAGCACCGAYAACGACGAGGTACAGGAAGTCCTAAAACGTTTGAACTTAGGGCTGTGTGGTATATGCAGTCGACGGTAGAAACAATATAAAGCTGTCCTGCAGTATAAATATAGCTTCTACCTGTCATCAGTAGGGGTGTCCCGATCCGATATCAATATCGGAT